AGAAGAAAGCTTATTGAGACTGGTAGGGGGCAGAGGCCTGGACTGGGCTGGTCTGACACCCATGTGTGTCATTTCTTTAATTGAGAGGGATATCTCCAAGGCCTACCTAGAGAAGCAAGGGATCCTAGCCCCACACCAGACCCCCAGCCCAGAGTCCAGAGCTGGGAAAATAAGTCCCTGTAACTTCTGGCTATAAAAACCAGCGGGGACTGTGGCTGATTGACATGAAGGCTGCTGAAGTCCCAGGTGTTCCTCTTCAAGGGCCCACACAATCTTACATGGTTCCACTTCCTCTGAGCGCCAGCACCAGGTAGTGGCTTTGGGGGAATCCAGTGATATACAGAGAGGAACTGAACTGTCTAGCCGGGTGGTACCAGACCCCCAGCCCAGAGTCCAGAGTTAAGTACCTGTAACTTCTGGTTATAAAAACCAGTGGGAACTGTGGCTGATTGACATGAAGGCTACTAAAGTCCCAGGTGTTCCTCTTAAAGGGCCCAACAAACTTACATGGTTCTACTTCCTCTGAGCTCCAGCAACAGGTAGTGGCTTTGGGAGAATCCAGTGACATACAGAGAGGAACTGAACTGTCTAGCCGGGTGGGAGTTTGGGGGCAGCTTTCTTCCAGACAGGAGTGCTCATAGGGGTCATTGTTCCTGTGCTAGGACTTCCTCCATCACAAAGCTGACTGGTGGTCATATCTGAGGCTTCATCAGCATGGTCCACACAGTTCGCTCCACCCTGGTGATTCCCTGAGACCCCACCTCATCCAATTTGCAACCCCACCCAAGTTGTTTGTAGCTACTTTTTCATATGATGGCCTGTCCTGGCTCAGACTTCAGATTTTTCTAAAATCTCTAAACAAGTAGCAGCTGGAGTCAATGTGCCCCAAACCTTTCAATAATAGGCCTAAGACCTAACACCAGCCTGCCTTATTTCACAGCTGGGCCTCACCTGGACACTTTCTAGCCCAATACAAAGAGCAGCCATCTGCAGATCTCTCTATAGCTCCCACTGGATGACCCTAGGCAGTGGCTGACTTTGCACCTCCCTGGAGATCCAAGGGCCAATGTACCCAGTGGTTAGTGGAAGACCATACCAGATTACAACTCTTCACATCCATAAGGGACACACACAAGG